CTTCTGAGCGCTCCAATGACCACTTGGCCACCGGTCGTGGTCTTTCCACTTGAGCTACTCGGTTGGAAATTCCTTCGGTGGATTCGTATATAAAGTTATTACGGGGATCTATTTTGAGGTGATGAGGGAAGGAGCGGGTGGATGCGGGCACCTTCCCTGGAGTTGGCCTTGCGTGGAAGTCGAAGACTTGCTCCAGGCTTCATCGCTTCTGCTTTCTCTGAGAAGCAGAACAAGTCAAGCTACTGGTATTAATGGAGGGACCCTTAACGCAAATGTACTTTTACTCTATACTGGTAGTCATACAGTTCAGGGAGATCTAGGTTTCCGCCGCAAACACCCCTTCTACTCGGCACAACAGTACGCTCTAATGACAGCCAGGACCTTCTCCCGATCCTCCGGTGAGTCAAACACCTGGGCATGATCCAAGTCGGGAAACAAAGTAACCTCGACTTTTCCCCCTTCAGCAACGACGACGCGCCCATCCTCCTCCTCTGGAATGCGTCCTTCCTCCCCAGCCTCAAGGTACCTGTGCACAGCTGGTGCCGAAACGATAAGGTCCCTCTCGGCAAGGAAAACAGCCACCTTCCTCCAAACCTTCTCCGGAGTGCCGTTACCATTCTCCTCGCCATCTCTCCCATTCCTCTCAAGTAGATCCTCCTTCCACACAATACTATCCCTCCAAAAAAAGTGTCTGCCCAGAACATACGCCACCCCCGGGTCCATACTAGCAAAATACCACAACTGCCACTGCCCGGCCGTCCTCGGCTTCCTCCTCGTAAAGTTATACGCCACATGCGGCTGATGCAACAACAAACTCACGGGATCAACAAGCACGAGCGAGGCGATGCGCGGTGCCAGCTCGGGCGAGCGGAGCATCTGCGTCGTGAGCACGGTGCCGTAGGAGTGGGCGACGAGGACGAATTCGTGGATGTCGTGGTGGGAGAGAATTTTGGAGACTTGGCGGGCGAATTCTTGGGAGGCGAGGGGTTCGTCGAAGGCGAGGCGGAAGGAGATGGGGAGGATTTCGATGGCGAGGATGCCGATTTGGTCGTCATGGTCCTTGGTGGAGGAGTTCAGTTCGGAGAGGAATTGGATGTAGGTCCAGAGGCCGATGCCGATGCCGTGGAGGAAGACGATGGGGAGCTTGTTGGGGGATTTGTGCGGGCGGTACCAGTAGCTTAGGTCGGCGGTCACGGAGCGCTCAGCGGGGAGGACGAGGTGAGAGATCCGTGGGGGGAAGACGCGGAGGCTCTTCCTGAGGCTCTGGGAGTAGTGCCGGAATCCCTGGAGGTAAAACACAGCATGCGCCGCCGTGTCGACCAAGAAGATGATGAGGTACCACGTCAAGCTTCGATACCGACACTCCACCCCATCAATCGTAAGCCTCAAACACTCCGCGACTCCCCTCCCCGGCTCCAACTTCCTCCCCAGCTTCTCCTCCACCCTCGTCATATACTCCTCCAACTCCCCCAACACCTCGTCATCCTCCTCGCACTCTTTCAAATCCCGGTCAAAAAAACCCCAGAGGAGAAACTCCCTCATATTCTCCCGGCGCACCTCTGAAGGTTCGGCGCCGAGGAACCAGAGGCGGAGGTAGGCGTCGACGTCGGAGACGTGGCTGAAGCATTTTTCGAAGAGGGCGCGGCGGTTGGCGCGGGTTCCTGGGGGTGGGTGCTTGGCGGCTTTGAGGAGACGGGTGACATATGTGCGGTACAGGGTGAGGGCGAAGATGGTTTCTAGGACGAGGAGGGTGGAGGTGAGGCGGAATAAAGGTGAGGATGAGGCGGAGGGCCAGCCGTTGTGGAGGGTGAGGAATAAGAGGACGGAGGCATAGAGGAGGGGGGTGTATTGGAAGAATAGGATGAAGATGTGGATTAGGACATACTCCTGAAACGATGAGTTTATCATGGTTCAGGAGGAAATGCTTTGGCTCTAGGAGACGGGTGTATGAGCTCAGGATGAGAATGAATGAAGCATTGGTTAATAGGTGAGGTGTATATGCACGAAGAGGAAATAAGGAAACTGGGCGTCAATCCAGAGAAGAATGGATCATGGTATATGTCCGTCACCGAGAGGGCGTGCCTTAGGCCTTAGGTAGGAATTGCATTGCCGGATGAAGATGGGCGTCGTTTTCATGTTGGGCAGGAGCAGCTCTTGCGGTGTAAATGACCACGACGACGACGACGACGACGCCGCCGCCAACTGGTGATCCAGATTGTTGGGTCAATTGTACCTTGTACCTTGCCGATTCTTCGGAGCTTAGATAATCGCTAGAGACCAAAGAAGTAAGGTACATCAGTGACATGTTCCGGTACCTCTCGGAATCCGACATGGTTCGTCGATCAATGGATCATTTCTATCTTCGCCAGAGACACTGCCAATTCCTTATCTTGCTCAATGTTTCAGGAAGAGATTTATAAAACTTCCGTCTGCCAGTCAGTTCGAGCGCGAGGTGCCAAGTGTAAAGTCCCGTGGCCGAGAGGCGCAAACTTTAAGAAAATCCAGGTGCCTGCTCTAAGGTTCCGCCAGGACCCGACGCTACTTGTAAAGTTGTAGCCACTGGTTGTGGCATCGAACAAGAACCCAAAGCATTGTAGCTCAGGGGTAGAGCACTGGGCTCATAACCCAGGGGACCTAGGATCGAAACCTAGCAATGCTACAAATCCTTTTTTTTTACTCATCTTTCTTTTTGTCTCATTGTATTTATTTTTCTCTCTTTTTGTACTTAATATTCCTGATAACCTTTATTTATTTATTCAGTCTACTGCATCAATTCATAATCATTGACATCTCCCTGTCTTTTTTCTTTCTTTTTCCTTCTTTAATCCACATCATTCAGCCTAGTCTCAGCCAGCTTCTTATCAACCAACGCCAACTCTGGCAACGGTTTCTGCTCCTCCCCCTCATCGTCGCTGCTCGACGGACTCGTGGGTCTCGCAATCGCCGCCCTGCTCTTGGCTTCCTCCTCCGAGACCTTAAGCGTCCCGTCTTCGTTGACGTCTTCCTTGAGGTACAGGGAGAACATGACGACGAGATATGTCTCCTTTGTCTGCTTGTTACGTAGGACGTATCTGTGAAGCCCGAGGGTGTAAGTGACTTGGGACCAAATCATACCAAGGCATGTAAAACATAGAATCGGAAAATAAAGAGAAAAGGAGAGAAAGAGAGAGAGCGAGGAGAGAAGGGATTCAGAAACTCACCTCAGACCCTGCCCATCCCAATACCTCAAAATCGACAGCCTAAACCCCGGCAACCTCAACGCAAACCTCTCAAAATCCAAATACGGATTAAAGAAATCCAACCCATACGTCCTCCCAAACTCCCACACCCACGCCTTCTTATTCTCCGCCTTCAAAGCCCACTTCATCCTCTCCTTCCCCGTCCCCGGCGCACCCACCTCCTCCCTCCCCTTCGATCCGCCCTTCTCATCCCCACCTTCCTCGAACACCAAACCTCCCTTTTCCGCGTCCTCGCTTCCGCGACCGCAGTAGATCGTGTTGAAGGAACTCAACGCCGGGCCGAATAAATACGGCGCGTCGGCGTACGCATCCCCCTCGAGACCGGGGTCGATCAACCACTTGACGATATTCAGCGCCGTCTGGAACCCCGGGGGCAAATGGTCCCGAATCGGATGATCAAAGTCATTGCCGAACTGTAAATCTTCCCCCGAGATCCCCCGCTCCGAGGAACCCTCTGGCTTCTTCGGCGTGAACCGCAAACAGATGCTGTACTGGTCGTTATTCGCCTTATGCGGCTCCGTAGAAAAATACGACGACGTCTTGTCCGACCCCCGAGGGAGCCCGCCGTAGTTTTGGATCCGCACGTTGAGCTCGACGTCCGCTAGCTCCGAGCTGATCTTGACGGTAGAGGCGTCGTTGACGGGCACCGAGACGTGGTCTGCCGTGTCGTAGCCCGGTCCGGCGGTTACTTTGAGTATGTACTTGTCTGCCATGATGTTTTTTGTAGTTCCGAATTTCCCTATAAAGGGAATTGAGAAGAACATGAAAGAAAAAGAAGAAGGGGGAAAAGGGGGAAATATAGAGTTTTTGGGTGTCGAAAAAGGTTTCAGGACGAACAAAGTTCAGGGGAAGAATAGCTTTGTAGGTAAATATAGTATTGCTCGACGAACTTGAAAAGTATCTGATTTGGGGAGAATTGGCCCGAGGATAGTAGGCGGTGTACATGGAAATCCACACTCCGACATGCTCCGCGATTTTTTTGGAGTTTGCTTCCAGTGGCTTTTTTGGCTGGCATGATATCATGGCTGCAATTTGTCGTTCGACGTCATCTTCACCGCTTTGCACGCTTCGCATGCCAACAATGCCTTCATCCCATCAACTGGCCAGAATATCACCAAGTCGAACAATAGAATGCACAGGCACAGATCCGATACTCGATACTTTTTTTTTATAAGAAAAGAAGAAAGAGCTTTGGTTTGTCAAAGTGAAGTGTATTAACCGAGGAATAAGGGCATGGGCATGTCTCGATTTTCTGAGACACCTTCGGAAAAAGCCCTGATTGCCCACCACCTCTGCGCAGTGTGTACGTGAATAAACGTCATAACATCCGTATCCGCACCATTTGAAAGGTGTATCTAACCCTGTTCCATTTATGCATTGGGTATCCCGTAGTCATATCGTGCAGATGAGTGTACTTGCATTCTAAAGCGTCATGGTTCCCAGGTCAGGTAGGTAAAGTAGAAGGGAACGTGAAGAATCGAGAAAGGAAGAGGAGGAAGGGAGCAAAAGAAGAGAGGGGAATAAAACAAAACATAGAGAGATGGAGACGGAGAGAGAGACCGAGAAAAACAAAACCCCGTAAAATACGTAGGAAGGTGCGTGGTCGTAGGAATGGATTGAGGAGAGAAAGAAAAATCAGAAGAGGTATGCAGGTTCTCAAATCCATGCGCCTGCCTGCATGTAAGTCGTATTCAAAAGATCCTCGGTCGTTCGGGATCCAGGAACTGGTCAATGTCTATCCTCTCAAAGAAACTGATGTGGTTGAATCCAAGCCAGTATTGAGCGATGCGATTGGGCGAAATGAGAAGGAGCCGGGATTCCACGAATTCATCTGCCTCGACAGTTAATGCGTGCGCGAGTCGCACAGGGAAACACCAAGCGACTCACCTTCTTGGAATCCACTTCTCGCAATATGGCCCTGGCTCCGCACAACCCTCGCTCCATAGAAAGGATGCTCCTCTGCCACTCCTACAAATCCCCCAACCCCCAAATCTTTAGCAATAAAAGTAGGTTCGCCGCGTGGGATGTTCGGATCGCCCGTGAGTTTGACAGCTTCCAACCGTCCCCTGTAGATCCGCGCATCACGTCGACGTTTCTCCCAGTCGGCTTCTGGTTCTCCTTCCGACCGAACAAGGCCTAGTTCTTCATCCGTGGCCACCGGATCGTCAGGTTGGTGGACTAGCAGGAATTCACAGCCGTGGCTGCTGTAATCCCCGACCCAGATACCGCGCCAAGGCTTTAGATCGGTCGGGGTGTAGAGAGCCGGGTCAAGGGTGGAGTACGTAATGACTTCCTCTCCGAGATGCACGCCCGTCAGTCCAGGGAAGTCGACGAGGGAGCTACGCGCGCCCGGCCTACGGGGGGGCGTTACCCTTCCAGTAAGTGTCTGCATCATACTCTGAAGGCCCTGTCCGAATATTAGTCCGGCCGGGGGGCTGCCGGCCATTTCAATCCATTGTCGGACGCGGAAAGTTTGGTCCGAGGACTCGGCGCGAGTAGAGGGGAGTTCGGGCGGCGCAACTAGATGGTGTTCGTCGTGGAAAGCTGGCGTGCCGGTGACGGTCTGACGTGAGGGGATCGCGGGCGGTGGCCAGACGTATCCGTAGGGAAAAGGTTGTTGCAACATGGGCGCGATTGCCTCTGGTTCTAGGGGCCGGGTGAGTAGGAAGTTGCAGTACATGTTGTTGGGGTTTTCGTCGATAATCATGGGCACCTCGGCCTGGAAGCCGCGTTTTGCCCCCATTAGCTCTGGCGCCCTCGGCGAATCGGGGTTGATGGTCGCTGAAAATTTCAAGACTGGCTTGTCCTCGTGCAGCATAACGCGAGGCGCAAAGGAGTGGATCATGACATGCTGATTTTCGGACCAGCTTTGTTGGTTCCTATGGTTGGAGACGGCTAGGAGCTGGTGGCCCTCGATGCAGCCGCGGCGCTGGTCGTAGCGCACGAGGATGAGCTTCCCCACAAGATCGCGGTCACAGAACCAGATCTTGTACTTGGGAAGGAACCATTTGGGGTCGTGAGTGGCGTAAAGTTCTCGGTAAGAACTGAAGGGATAAGGGGTCCTGAGAGTTACGCCGGGCACGTTTGCCTGTACGAGGGGGTGCCACAGGGCATCGGAGATGGCATGCTTCCGCAGCGCACGGCAAGTGGCGGAAACAGCTACTAGATCAAGGGGGTTGAGAAACGAAAAGATTGCGTCGACCAGCTCAGCTGGCAAGTTCGCCAAAGGGCATGATAACTGCATATCTGTCCGCAGCATTGGGGCCTTCCCGTTTGCAGACCGAAGTAATGAGGAATCTAATTAAATTAAATCAGTAGGCCGCAGGATGGTATGGAGCGGTGGTGATGGTGGAGGTGTACTGAGACTCGATGCGGGAATAGTGAAAGAAGGACGGGTAGCCAGATAAGAATAGAATGTTCAAAAAAGCACGCGGATAGGTACGGAGTAGTACGGCATCCATTGAAACGAATCAGATCTGACTCCGATCGACAAGAGATTGACCAAGCAGGCGAGGATTCCTTTACTAACAATCACAAGCAAACAGACTAAGGAAAAAAAGAAACGAACCTGATGCGACCGAGGACGAATCAGTGGGAAATCTCCTCTGTGATTGCGGGTCCATCGTTGCCTGGCAATTGTCGTTACATATCGCGTCACGCCACAGGGCGTCGGTGGGAGAACAAGGTGAGTACTGGATGTCGTCGATCTGGGGAGAAGCGATGCCGTAGGTAGGAGTCGGGCTATGAGGCGACTCCATTGCAAGCGTGTATATAATCTATGTATATACAGGAGAGAGCGCAGGTCTTCGTGACTGTGACTGTGACTGTGACGTATTGGCCAGCCACGTTCGCCACTGACCCTGAGGAATAAGTCACGGATTGTCGACTCCCTTGCGGGAAAACGACAGGATAAGATGCGGGCGCAAAGAGAAAAATGGGGATTGGGAACAAAGAAGTCAAAAGAGAAAAAAGAGGGTCGAGATCAAGGGGGAATTTCTGTGATTTGCTCTTTCCTCGGCCGTCCGTCCGGGTCGACTTGGGCTTTCTCCCCTCGGCCCCGTTCTTTCTCCAAGTCAAAGTCGCGCTGGCGCTGGTGGGGTCGTTCAAGGCTCAGTAGCGCCTGCCGGCAGTGGTTGTGGAGGAAATTGTGCAGGAACGAAACGTTCCCTCGACTCTTAAAAGGCAGGTGCGAACCGTCGCGGCCGTATTACAGTTGTAGTGTACGTATTGTACCGTGCCATACATTGGAAGTCAAATGTGAAATGTGTGCTCACGATTCAAAGGGCAGAAACGAGTCGATGCGGCTCGATGCAGAAGAACCAGATTTGTTTCGGTGCGGCATGCGGCGAACGGGAGGCCTAATGTTTATTTTGCACGGCATGAATGGCATCAATTCCGAGGAAACGCCATGCATAAATGCTCACACAGATACATCAACGTAGACCTCTCCTAGGTCCAAGTACTTCGTATTTTCTGGCAATGAAAGAATGGAGCACTTATCCGACGATTAAGAAGGGGCTGGATCACTTCGTAAATGCAGAAAGGACTTCTAGGGCCACGCATCACATCGGGGTCGTTGTGGGGAAAGGGGACCAGCGATAATAGCACCAAGGCCCAAGCCAGATCTGGTCTCGGCCGGCACCCCAAAATACCCCACTCCGCTGGAGCTCAACACTCAAAAAGCTGGCCTGAGCGTGAGGGGTTCGAGGGGTTCTCGCGGTTCGGAGATGATTGAGGCCAGCTGGTCGCTGCGGCTCAGCGGGGTTTCGGGAAGCAATTGTCGGTAAAGTTGACCGGTACAAGCAAATTTCAGTGGATTGGAACGGGAGACGAAGAACAGTTGGAAGCGAAAATTGGGGAAATGGCTCCACAGTCACAGGCAGTGCAGCACGGGATTTGCAAAATGATGCGATTCGAGATCGAGACGAGAAGTGAGAAATGAGGAGATGTGATCTTTTTTTTTTCTCTCTTTCTTGGGATTCGAGAAAAGCGGTCGCACAGAATATCATGTTTCTGCAAGGAAATACACCCACTGCGGCTGGTACATCTGATCTCCAACGGATAATGTTCCACGTCTGGTGAAGAATTTCCAGGAAACCAAACACGGTCGCATCGATCCATTCAATCAATCAAGCGACACCAGCCATTTTCGGCACTTGTCTTGCGCTGTGATGGACACGTCCAAGTGGCATCAATTGATGAGGCAATTACTAAGCGGTGGAGATACCCCAACTCCAGGTCCGCAAGGATTCTCGAAAGAGGAGAAGAAAGAACGACTGCCGAATTTGCGAGTTGGCCCAAGGATGAAGTATCAATACAAGTATCTTAGTACTTCGGGGTGCCAATTGCCGCAAGAGCCCTTTGATACATGCAACGGAGCAAGCCCCAAGCTCAAACCTCAAAACTCCCTTCCTTTCCAGCCTCGATCAGTGTACATTAATTGTAAGCTCTACTTCGTATGGGTTGACAGATGAAATCAGCTGAATTAATCGATGACCTTTCACCTATCACAGAGTAGATCCACGCTGGCCCACGACTCCAGGGTAGTGTTACTGTTTGTGATATTCCGCGCTTGCCTTTACTTCGCAGAATCGAGGCAGCATCTCATTCCAGTACTTCATAATTATACTTCCCGGATTTCGGTGCCGACGCCGATTCTAACCTCTCTAGGAAGAAGGTTAGCTCTTGACATTGTGGGCTGGCTCCGACAGTCTCCCTCCGACCTCGTAAAGCTTGAATCCTCGCCCTTCCAACGTTACTAGCTCTCCGTGCGATGTCGACCATGATGCCAACTTAACACCATCCCCATTCGGGTCCCGTCCAAGGAGAAGCTCCGTACTTCGACGGGTTACGTGGCATGAACTACTATCGTCGATGCTACCCCCGCATCGAAATCCCACTTTGATCTTGCTAGCTCAGTAAGCTCTCATCGACTCAATCTCGCAGCCCCATCTCAGTCGAAGTCACTATTCCCTTTCCGACTCCCTTCCTCCCTAATCGAGATGAATTGCAGCCACCTCCTCGCTCAATGCTCCCCACGTAGTCATGAAATCCATTGACCCCTGTTGTTTCCCCAGAAAAGTCTCCTCTCGCTCTCTCGCCTTGCTGATCCATACTCCCGACATAGCCCTCCGCAAGGCGGGGCCCCGAATACGACTCCCCTCATCAAGTTGACACATGAGCGAAGATCCTCCGCTTCGGTTTCATTCAGACGACAGAATAATGAAAGAGGAAGCTCTTCAAGCCGGCCCGTGAGCGACCCGGTGCAATCTACCCGTTCCGCTCGTTAGCCTGCCAATCCCAGCTAATTACGAAATACCTTCTTCCGCCGCTTGCTGAGCCCAAAATTGTGACTACCGGCTCTTGAGATCTCTGGGCTTGCCAGTCGGATAAAACCTTGCCCGTTGCCGCCACCCAAAGCGAAGTTCGGATTTCAATTGTATTTTTTCTTCTTTTATTTTTGCCTTGTTTTGTGATGATAAGTGAGACTTTATTATTAGACAGCAGCCTGACTGGAAACCGGGTCTGGAGCGCGCCCTTGACGGGTGCCTTCTCCGACGGAAATAACGGCGAGCGTCCCGACATCAGTCGATTTATTCACTTTTGTTGGGATTTCATGGCCCGACATCAACGGCACACTGGCGTGGCGGCCCAGTAATGAGCGATGGAAGTGTGAGAGGTAGTCTGTAATCTACATTGATGCTTGGGGTCTGTTCCTACCAACGTCCTTGACTTGAAGCAGGATTCGCGCCTGTCGAGGTATTTAAGGCGATGTCTCACCGACCGAATAGCGTTGACTCGGCCGAACGCCCAACCCCGGCTCGGATTCATGCGCGTCTTTTCCGATATTTGAGAGCAAGGGGGTTTCACAGGGAAAATAACCGCCAGAAAGAGGGATCACATGGATGATGGGATTCATCACACTTCCGAGCGGTTTTGAGGCGTGCTCCACGTTCCCGTTGATCATTGCTGCCCCTCTTCGCTTCATTACTCCCGAATCCCGATGGACTTTCACCGATTCCTTCTCGGGAACAGTGCCTCTGCCGCGTCTCCGCGGACAGACATAGCTAGTTTGGAGCCTGTACCCGTCCCATGCCACGCCTCCCTTAGCCTATCTTTGACCATTGCCCGGAGATTTGCTGCAATCTCCACCAGTGCTTGATGCTTCTCGAGTGAGAGTTGGTCCGTTCGTCATCCACCAGAGCCGGGTTTCTCGCTCTCATTTCGTACGGGCGGTCCCGACTGTTGGTCGAGAACTTAGCAGGGCACAAAGATAGGGGAATGGCGGGTTTCAGGATCCGGCCGAGAGACTCGTCACGGAGATCACAGAGACTAAACCTCTAGCCCGGCCCATCCTCTGATCACACTCTCAATTGAGCTTGTGGTGAGGCACATTGACAGCGGTTACAAAGTGGAGTTAGCAAGACTGAACAGGAATGGGACGGAGTACCATACAGCAAAGACGCGGCGAAATGGCCGAGGGGTACGCAAGAACAGCGACTGGAGAAGCTCTTCGAAATATATATAGAACTTTTGCCCAGGTGACATTAAATCTAGAAGTTTGTTGTTGGCACTCCTATGCCTCCTACACTTATTGCCAGGTTCTTCTTATCAAAGGCCCAAGGATGAAAGGCAGGACATGAGCTTCAAATCGTAAATATCACACATGAAGAGGGGCCTTTTGGTGAGAATTATCATCACATAGGAGATGCAATGCCTCTTGTAATATTAATAGAATCTCAATTTGCTATCAAAAATGGAGAAGTAAGGTTGTCTTGCTTCCCAACTAAAGATCAAAAAACCTCTAGGCTATTCTCTCCTGAGAAAACTTGATTATTTCTATCGAAAATGAAGAACTAAGACCTCGTCTGTCTTGGTCTCCAACTGAAGGCAAATCCCTCTCCCATTCTCCCATAGAAATAGGGAACTCAACCAAAAAAGGGATTAGGGAAATGAGTTTCTTCGACTGGTAGATATAGCTCAAGCGCCGAAATCTACCAGCATCGAACATCTGTTTGCCTGGGCCAGCGGACCTACAGGCCGATCAAGCCCTAACAATTGATGCTGGAAGATAAACAACGCATTTCCACCTTTCCCAGGAACGTTTCATATCCTCGTGACCTCATTTCCATGATCGCAAACTTCGTAAACCCCATCGCTCAGCCATCGAAAAGAAAGAAAATCATCCGGCATCCTGCCGCCCTTCCACCAACAGACAAGATCCTCAAAGAAGAGGCAAATCCTCAGTGCAAAAAGGCCAAGAAAACCTGCTGCCGCATAACCTCGCGAAAGGGGGTTTGACAAAGGTCAGCTTGTTCTGGATGGATTGGTGACCTTTCCACCTACCCCTACCAGTATGCTCATTTGAAGCCCTTATCCCATTGAATGTATAGAAGACCATGCGACACCCTGCAATGCTCTGTGAGTGTGCACTCTTGTAGAGCATTACAGGGTGTCCCATCTATCACGGCCAGCAACCTGGCACAGATTGCTCTTCTTCTGGATGTCAAGTAAATAAAGGGGCATTCCCTGTTGACGTAGGTTTTTGGCAATTCCCACCACCTGATTTCCTGGCTCGGAGGGATGATCTGGGCCCAGCTGAGCTGGGGACCCTTATATGGCGTAAAATAAACACACACATACACCCACTGTCCCTGCAATGCTCAGTGAGCGTGTACTTGTCACTGAGAAGGAAAGACATGCAGTCGAAGGCCTGGCCATCCGAATCTGTGTTCGCCACTTGCCCAGGCATTGAAAC